GGGGGGGGGGGGGTTTCGGGTGGTTTGAAAGACCCACGTCCCTTCTGAATTTGAGTCTAGAATTTGGTCCCTATATGAACTCATTTGTCCCACTTTTGACAGTATGCCATGATAAATTGTTAAAATAACCAATGGAAGAATTAAGGCTTTAAGAAGATTTTTGGTAAAAACCCCACTGAACAACTGAAATGTATTTAACATCTTATATTAAAGGATTTGGTTAAAATCTTGATGCTTTTGTGGGTCTCGTCTATCAAATCTGAGCTTTATTTTGTATTCTCTATTGGACTCGAGTCAGGTGATTGGCTGGGCCATTCTACAGCTTGATTTTCTTTCTCTGAAAGTATTTGAGAGTCTCCTTGGCCGTGATTTAATGTAGATATTGGACTAAAGCAGCTGATATTCAATTACACTGAGGAAGGGCAGAGGGTTCCTGAAAAACTACAGAGAGATTTCACCTGCTGTCTGGGCTTTCACTGCCTTCACTTTCTTCATGTGTTCAACGCTTTTTCTGTGCATCAATCATTTCATTTTATTACGCAGAACTTAACTTGTAAACTAATTAGATTTGTTTTCTTTGCATATATATGGATTTATTTAGTTGTTACCAACATTCAGTGTCATTTCAAGTCAACAGCACCTTTAGAAATGTGGTTTCTGAGAAAAATGGTGATATGTTCAATACTAATTTTCCCGATGTATATTTAAAGTACTTTGTAAGCTGTAAACTGGCGTATTGTAGTATAATATACAGTACAGTATGTAGTAGAAACTACAGTATTGGGTAATTTGTTTGTATTGCTATAGTTCTTTTATTACAACTATTCAATCACCACAAGATTTAATCAGGTACTTCAGTACAGAAAGGTTAAAACACAGTATAGTATTAGTATATTAGTATTTTGTTATATATTTACTTATCTTAACCCTTAATAACATTTAAAAATGAAGATTTGAGAGGGAATTAAACGGGTACAATATTGAAGTGTAAATATTTTCAACAACGACAACAAAACTTGAATGTGGTGTGAATAATAGGGGAACTTATAATAATTATTATATTCAATATTGAGTGAAGTTGATTATTTGACGTCCTTTCATTTGATGGTGGGGCCTAAATTGTGGACATGAGTGGTTTGACGGTAACACCACAGTAGTTTTAATGCTTGAATTCACTTTTTAAAGCCAACATTGTTGATTAAAGATATTACATTTGTGTGTTTTCAATAATATTACCTTATTTTGTGCTGCACACTCTTCACAGTATGTAACGGAAATGTTTGTTCGCTGAGAAGCTACCTCAACAGGGCGTAAGCGTTAAAAAGATACACGGCCGCTGATTGGTCCATTCTATTAAGCGCTGAGAAAAGTAACAGTGGTCATCTGATGTCTTCAAAATTAAAAACCTGAACAAAATTCTGACCTAAATAATGGTAGTGACAAACTGTATGTACATATTTAGTCTTAGTTATGCAGGTAAGAGGTAAAGTTGCATAATTAACAGTAGATGCGTTATACTGACTAACTAGAGAACTTCCGGGTCACTATCTCACGCCTGTTGCCGTTGTGTTGCGTTTGACACACCGCGGACAAACATGGCAGGAAAAGCAGGCAAACAAAATCGTCCCAGAAAGCCGGTGTCGGATAAAGATGAAGAGGAGCAGCCGCTGCAGGCCGTTCTGGTGGCCGACAGTTTCAACCGCAGGTTTTTCCCCATCACTAAAGACCAGCCGAGGGTGAGTGAAATAAATGAAGACAGCGTTACCGGGAGCACATGCTGCAGCTCTTCTGTACAATAACATGTTAATCAAACACTGTAACGTTAATGTAGCACAAGGTAGAGCTGCTGTTTTGTTTTTGGACGGGGGCGTCGTTTAAATATGTCAGTGTTTGAGGTACAATTGTAGTAACAGTGTTTGTTTACATCGTGGCTTTCTGACAGTAATACATTTTGCTGAGGTAACGTAAAGTTGGTTTTATATTCACACATTCAGACTTTCTCCTTAATTAAAAAGTATTCTTTGCTGATTTCTAAATAGTGTAATCATATAAGCAGCCAGTGACTACCAAAGTACAAGTTCACAGTTATATAAATGGTGCTAATGTTGTTTTGAAGTCATATTCACATCTGATTTCATACCGAATATCCAAAGTACCATGGTAAACACTATAGGGAGCGTGTATGTATGTGTGTGTGTGTGTGTGTGTGTGTATATATATATATATATATATATATATATATATATATATATATATATATATATATATATATATATATACACACACACACACACACACACACACACACACAGTTGAGGTCAGAATTATTCGCCCCCTTTGATTTTTTATTTATTTATTTATTTTTATATATATATATATTTCCTAAATGATATTTAACAGAGCAAGGACATTTTCACAGTATGTCTGATAATAATTTTTCTTCTGGAGAAAGTCTTATTTGTTTTATTTCGGCTGGAATAAAAGCCGTTATAAATTTTTTTAAACACCATTTTAAGGACAAAATTATTAGCCCGTTAAGGCTATTTTCCCCGATAGTCTGCAGAACAAACCATCATTATACAATACCTTGCCTGATTACCCTAACCTGCCTAGTTAACCTAATTAACCTAGTTAAGCTTTTAAATGTCACTTTAAGCTGTATAAAAGAATATCTAGTCAAATATTATTTCCTGTCATCATGGCAAAGGTAAAATAAATCAGTTATTAGAAATGAATGGGGGGGGTAATAATTCTGACTTTACCTGTACATCAACTGATTATTATTACTGTTGCTAATTATTGTTACACTTGAACATTTAATTGGACGTCGATTTTAAATCCTGATAAAAATGTATGATAGTCATATTTTTCTGTTTTAATAAGACACTTTTGGATATAATGAGAAAAGAAATTGAACATGTATTAAACATTTATTGTTTTGATAGTTTTATCATCCCTACTTCATTTATTCATTAAATCTTTTGTTAACAAGCTTCCAAATACTTGTGCACGTTTCCCATACTCATACTATATTATTATTATTATCAGGATTTGTTGGCCTGTTATTTGAAGGAGCTTGACTGAAATGTGCTGCCGCATAAGTAATCGTTTAATACCATGGTTTAACAGTGTGCTTTTCTAGCACTTGTATGTTACATGATGCATAATTTTGGATTAATATAGACTAATTTTGACTCTTATTTGTGTCTCGTCAGGCTCTCCTGCCTCTGGCTAATGTCTCCATGATTGACTACACACTAGAGTTTCTGACATCCACTGGGGTGCAGGAGACTTTCGTCTTCTGCTGCTGGATGTCCAGCAAAATAAAGGAGCACTTACTGTAAGACGCTTGACTTTATATGGCGATTTTGACTGTGATCCTCCTTGCGACGCTCTCAGCACACTGTGTTTGTGGTTTTGTGTTGCAGGAAGTCGAAGTGGTGTCGTCCCACCTCTCCAAATGTGGTTCACATCATCACTTCTGATCTGTACCGTTCTCTTGGGGATGTTTTAAGAGACGTGGATGCCAAATCCCTCGTCCGTTCAGACTTTCTGCTGGTGTATGGAGACGTGGTGTCCAACGTTGATGTTTCCCAGGCTTTGCAGGAGCACAGGTAAGTGTCATTTCAACACACGAGACTCGGGTTGCGTCCAAAATCACTTGTATAGGTTCGACATTACTATACGACCTTAAAAAAAAAGTATGTTCTAGAATAGTTCCTATAGGGTAGTGAATACTTCACTCACATTTATGAATTTTCAAGCATGGCATCATGGGGATAGTGAGCGTTCACAGAATCTCGCTGGAAGTACTACAGAAACTGAAACGCTGGCTAATTAAGTGTTGGAGGTTTCAAGGATAATTTGAGCAGCCTGTTGGCCAATCTTCGTTGATTGAACGTTCCACCAGTAAGAGCAGAGTAGATTAAGCCTTAAAGACCTAAAGGTATTTTGTGGGCACCTAATGGGCCTATATTATTATTATTATAATTTTAAAGCAGTTTTATTGTTATTTTAGCAGTCAGCCTCAAGTGTCATATATTACTTTAAACGGGAGAACCTGAAGCTTCAATCTGTATTATTTAAAGGTTCAGTCTAAAATATTTTTTGGTCTAAAAACATATGAACAGACAGAAAATATTCCAGAATTTTAAGAAAAACGTTTTTTTTTTTTTTAAAAGTGGTGTTTTCTAGTTATTACAAACAAAACCTCATGAAGTTTGTTTGTTTTTTTTCTTTGGAAATACACGCTATGATGTTTTATACTTCCAAAATAAATTTTGTCTACATCCACCTTTCCCTGAGCGAGTTATGGCAATTTATTTCAATGGTTTTCCAAGGCGTTTTTCAGTGGGAAAAAATTGTGCATTTATTTACTGAAAATGTATTTGCTCAAAAGTTCTGGAATGAACTAAACGGAAAGATCGTTACAAAATAACAGGACACTGAAGCAAGTTTGACTTTTTCCAAATAATATATTTTTAGTTACCATAAACAACACCACTTACAATGAACAACTAAAAAATAAGAAAATAATAAATAATGCATCAAAGTCCAAATAAACATGGTGCAAATCCTCAGTTAAAAATTAGATATAAATATTTACTATGCTATAAAATGTTACATAACTAAACCAGATTCAATATGGACCATCCTTAGGTTTTATGTGCCAGCATATGGTGTTGACCCTGCTGCTTATCAACTTTTGCGTTGCAGACAAACAGCCACACCTTCATTTGCGTACTTTAAAAACAGCAAGACCAGCAGTTCGTCTTTGCTGTGTCACTGTTTTGTCATGTTTCTGTGCTGTTGTGTATGCAAAAGTACTTAGTATGAGAATTATTTCATGCAAAACTTTTTTTTTTTTTTTTGCGTTTTATTTAGCCGCGCGTAAACGTACAGCCTATTTCTCATTCCGGGTTCAATTAGCTGATTGGAGGTCCACAAAGCGAAACCTATGGTTATTGGTTAAGAGAGAGCGAGTTTGAACCAATCATGGCATGGAGGATGGAAAATGCATCAATGGATCATGTCTGGTTTGTCAGGAGACACAAGCCACGAGCGTTCCTTTGTCAAATCAGCGTTGTCAAAATGTGATGACGTAACCACACTGATTCCGGAGCCACTGAAGGTCTGGGAATGTCCTGTTTTACAGCGATGTAAAGCAGAGACTATCTTCTATATGCCAATCTTTGAATTGAACGGATCGGATCTGCGGATCAAAGTTATTAAACATTTAAGAACAATTCTTATTTCATTCTTTAAGGGTTAATAAGCTTAAAATATTGCAATGCACACAACATTATGGGTGACATATTCAAGTTCAAAAAAAGCATATGTGCATCTCACTGGCGCATCGGTGAGCAAGACAGCAAGTCTTTGTGATTATCAAAAGCCACGTTATGCAGGCTAATGTCAGCAAACCACCAAGAAGAAGCAAGTGTGGATGCAAAAGGAAGCTGTCTGAATGGGAGGTCCGGGTGCTAACCCTGATTGTATCCAAAAAAACATAAAACCACAACTGCACAAGTCACTGCAGAATTAAATGTGCAAACTCTCCTGTTTGCACCAAAACTGTTGAGAAGGGTCTGGCTGCAGAGTGGAACTTGCATCTTCAGGCATGCACTCTCGGGCTTGCACGCTCAGGCACCCACGCTTCCAATGCAAGTGACGTCATAAACAATCGACACCTGCACCGGTCACGTCACTAGAAATCAACACAAATAAACCAAAAGTAAGTTTCCAGTTCGTTTGCGTTGACAGTGATGACTTTGTCAATTAATTTTAAGTAGGCTACTTGCGTTGTACAACATGACAGACCCCCCCACACCCCGAAAAGCAGGTAGTATATTCATCATATGATTATAAGCTTTGATGTAAATTTACCAAAACAGGCTACTGTTAACATTCATACCAGTATTGAAGTATAGTCAGCTCTGTGTGTAGACCAGATTTTGCAGACGTACCAGTGTTTGTCATTCATGTATCATTAAAACAGCTTTATGTAACGTTTCTTTAAAGGCAGCGGCGCAAAATGGAGAAGAACGTGTCCGTGATGACGATGATCTTCAAAGAGTCCTCGCCGGGCCACAAGACGCGGTGTGAAGAGGAGGACATGATCATGGCCATAGACAGCAAGAGCAAACGCATTCTGCATTACCAGAGAGCACAGGCCTTGAAGAGACTGCAGTTCCCCATGGTGAGCTGTTTCTTATAATAGTTGCATGAATGAGAATCTGCACACAGTTAAGCCTGATTTATACTTCTGCGTCAAGTGGCCGGCGTAACCCACGGCGCAGGCAACGCGCGTGGCTGTGCATTTATACTTCTGCGTGCTGTCTCTGTTGGTCTTCATTAACACTTCCGAAACGCTAGTTGGCAGTGAGGTGTAAATGTTCCTCTGTGTCGAGTTTCTTCTCTGCTGTTTTGCTTTTCCTGAACACTTCCGGGATGTACAAGTGGCTCAAACTCGCTCATTTTGAGGCAGGAACCGTCAGACTTGCAACAACTTTAACTATGAGGTAAACACAAAACAAAACTTTCCACCCGGAGCTCCTTCACGGGACTCCACACTTGTAAACAATCGCTCCATCAGGCTCGCGCCATTTGCACGGCTCTCGGTCCCGCCCAGACTCGTCAGCGCTACCAAGCCGACCAATCACAGAGCTTACGCTACGCGTCGTTGCGACGTGTATTTACATTTTTTGAGAGGTGCACATCAGCGACGCCGATGGCCACGGCGAAGGGCTATGCGTCAGCGCCGTAGCATACGCCGGCGTTTGATGCAGAAGTATAAATCAGCCTTTATGCAGGGTACAGAGCACCTTACGAGGGGAACTATTATGCCTCTTTTTACAAGATGTAAAATAAGTCTGTGATGTCCTTAGATCAATGTTTCCCAACCCTGTTCCTGGAGGCTAGGGGTTGCACTGACTAGTCGACTTTAATGCTCTGCCGTGATGCTTTTTGATTGACGTTGACTAGTCGTGCTGCGCAGATCTTGTGTTTTTTGACCTGAACTACATGGCAGCTTTACATACTAAAGTAGTTCACTGAATGAAAATGCCCTTCTGACTATTTACGGTAAATGATGTTTCCCATAATAAGGACATGTTTGTCCAAAGAATGTTTGTCCGTCCGTCCCAAGCGGCAACCTCCCCCTCTCCCTGGGGAAGCCAATACGGAAGTAATTGAAACTGCAATTCATCGACATTCCGCTAAAAATGAGTTAATCAGATGCTGGATTCGAACCGGGTTCATGATCCAAGTAGATGCTGCACACTGGTGGTGGTGTGGAGAGACCACACCCCCCCCCCCCTTTTAATGATTGTGAAGCGCTTTGGGTGTATGGCCATACACAACAAATGCGCTATAAAAATACACATTACATTACATGATCGATCACGTCAAAACATGTTGCCATGCGCTTTACGAGCTTTGCTACTCATGCTGCTGGGTGTTGCGCTCTTTAGTTAAGTTGTCTCTGTCAATCAAACGGTGATGGGTGGGAATCACTCAACTAGCTTATTCAAATGAGGTGCACTATTTGCGTTTAGCATAAATAAACACACAAAATCGGCATCACCCCCACCCCCTCTCTCGCAGGGGCCCCAAGGCCCCGTTTACACTAGTGCGTTTTAGTTTGAAAACGCATAAGTTTTGCTACGGTTACGCCATCCGTCCACACTACGCCGGAGTTCTCGAGCGCCGAAAACGGAGCTTTTTGAAAACGCTGGAGAGGCCGTTTTCATTCTAAAACGCTGCTGCTCCGTCTCAGTGTGGATGGGGAAAGACGGAGACATCTGAAAACGGAGGCGGGGCTGCCGACGTTCGCCTATCTGATTGGGGCTTTTCCTCAATATTAAGTAGCCTAACACACACAGTTCAGTCTCGCATCCTCTTCTTGTAAGTTCAGACTTCGCAGTTTGATCAAGGCTGCATCTCTTCTTCTCAGTTTGATATGGAAAACAGATTATACCGAGGACACGGGTAAATCTTCAAAGGGAACAGTGTACTTTATAACTTCATTCACATCACCTTGGCTACGTGTTTCACTTTCTCAACAATAAAATGTAAACATGATTTAAGGAACTGCCTATTTTCTTTTTAATATTAGCAACTTAACAGACGGCAGAAATGTTGAGGCGCCGTGCTGCATATATGAGCGTCATCTTCACTGTGTGGATATTTATAACAAAACGGAGCCGATTACAACTGCCTCCTTTCAATTTCAGTGAAAATACGAAACATACCCTCTCTTTTGCTGAACATCAGTTTTAATAATCGATCATTTTAAAAGTATAACATACAATAAGTTTATACATTGTAGGAAATAAAGGCAAGCGATCAGTCAATGTACCTGGATTAATCATTAATTTATCTTTGCGCTTAACCAAAACATGTTACCCGTGAACAAGTAACTTAATAGATTCCAATGACCAAAGTCAGGGAATTGGCCTATGTCGTTAGATAAAGACAACAACATCAATGAAATATCACGTTTAGCAAATATAGTGAGATTAGATCCAGCGGGAGATGCTTGATGAGCAGTCCGACAAGCAGAGCTCTCATCTGGGTAAATGGGCTGCAGCGCTTGCCCGAGAGTGTCTGTGTGGTCACATGATGTGCGTTTTCAGCGTTTTGGTGTGGACGGAGAGCAGTTCAGAAACGCTGGGTAAAACGCGAGTGTGGACGCGGATCGTTTTCATTCTACAACGCCGTTTTAAAACTAAAACACACTAATGTAAACGGGGCCCAAGTGTGCCCATTGGTTAATCTGGCCCATACGCCACCTCATTCTTCAGTTTCTCATCAAATATTCTGCCCAATCAAATGCTCTCTAGTATCTGACATGCCCCGCCCCCTTCTTCTCTTTTTTTTCATTTGATGTTCTCGAGCTCAACCACTCTCACTGGCAGAGCGGTGATAAAACTAAATGCTATTGGCTGTTTTTTTAAAAAGGGGAGTGGCTACTCTCTCCCACCCTCTCTTTGTGATTTAGTTGAGATTATGTCAAACATCAAATAAAAAAATGCACATTTCAAGCAACTTGGAGGGACTTTTAATGCACATTAAAATCCAGCAGTTCATCAATTAATATACTAATGTACTGTATAACTACTTCTCTGGTCAGGTCAGAAACTGCATGTAACAGTAATTTAGTGATTGTACTTTCTTATTTTTTCAACACAGAATATTTTCCACAGTGCCAGTGATGAATTTGAAATCAGGTTTGATCTTTTGGATTGTCACATTAGCATCTGTTCTCCACAGGTGAGTTTCTTTATTATTGTTTATCTTTATACACAGATCTCTCTGTTTGTTTGATTGTTTACACACGCACACTCAGATTAATGAAAGTGAATACTGTTTAACGCAGGTGGCGGAGCTTTTTACAGACAACTTTGACTACCAGACCAAAAATGACTTTGTCCGTGGGATTCTAGTCAGTGAAGAGGTATGAACGAAGATTTCTGCTCATTTATGAATTCATATTGATGTAAGAGTTGTGGATGCAGCGTTGCATATTTACTATCATGCATGACAGAAATTAATAATATTAATATTGTCATAATTTGAATTGCAGTAAATGGTTTAGCGTATTTGTCTTTTATGAAATGGAATTTTAAAAACTGAGATATTTTGAAGAAAGGTCAAAACCTGTAACCATTGACAAAACAAATACTATGGAAGTCAATGGTTACAGGTTTCCAACATTTTTCAGAACATCTCCTTTTGTGTTTAACTGAAAGAAAAAATTTGAAAGGACTTTAATGAATGTTTTTATTTTTGGCCTAGATCCTGGGAAACCAGATCCACATGCATGTGACTAAAGACGGATACGGCGCTCGTGTGTCGAACCTCCTGATGTACGACACCATCTCCTCCGACATGATCCGCCGCTGGATTTATCCCATCACACCCGACGCTAACTTTGCAGACCAAGACGGCCAGAGCTGCACACACTCTCGGCATAACGTGTACCGCGAGCCTGGGGTCA